ACTGAGCGAACTAAATTTCCCGCAGCACTGATTGGATAAGCAATGTAATGTGATCATTTGCAGCCGACGATGGCCAAGCGGGCGTGTCATAACTAATTGACATCTGGAGTCAGGTGTGTCTTACCCTTCATGGCAGAGGCTCCATCGAACCCCTGATACCGATTTACCGAACCCCTCGGGTTCGATCGAACCCAGGTTAAGAACCACTGATTTAGACACTGGCGTGCGGCCGATCGCGCTGAAAGTGACGTCACGTGGCTGCCATATTTGGAAGAAGCAGCATATTAGCTTGCACACAGCTGGCTAGTCCGACTTGTCTGCGGTTTATGCGTTCCACGGAGGCACTTCAGAGACCCAGCTATTTGTGTACAAGCAATTAAAAAGTAAATTTTCCATACTGACTACCCATTCATATTTTTGCAGCACGTCCTTTGCTTGCAACGACTGCATAAATCCCGTGACATCACTAACCTTTCACCACAGAATCTTTTTTTTTTGGTTTGCACGGTCAATGCCCTTCAATCTCTTGTTTTGCAGGCAGAATGCATTCTCAATAGGCCTTCTGCTTGTTGCCCAGGACAACCCCTTAATTTTGATAATCTGGATTTTTTTTTTTTTATCTTGCAACATGAAGATGACGGAACTCTCAAATCAGTTTGGCTGCATATTGTCTTTCAATGAACAAACAATTTCCGCAGATGTTTAAGTTAATTCTGCTGCTAGCATCATGTTATTCTTTAATAAAGATCAGCAACACTGTCCCAGAATAAGCCATTCAAGCGCAAGTGATGAGTGACAGTATCTCAGTGTGTACAGACAAGTCTATGTTGGAGATCAGAGCAAATCTTTTTTTTTTTTTAATTAGCCTAGTTTGAATAATCAATGAGTTAGGATATACCTCGCGACAAAACACACCTGTCAGTCAGATGTATCTGCTCAAGAAAAAAAAAATGTGTTGATTAAAAGAAAAGGTAAGAGCAAAGTCATGTTTCCAATCCATATAAATAAATGGAAATGAAAAGCTAAAATGTCCATCTGTTGTCTCAGGATTTGCTTCACTGTTCGATTCAACACAAATGTCAAAATGTTTAATACAGCCGACACAAAAGAATGTGTGCAGTTTATTTTGAGCGCAAAGATTGGATAGTCTTTCACCGTTGTCACGTCATGTAGGCCAGGACTCCAAGGAGTGGTCTCGTGCTTTCTGATTTGACAAAAATCTACAGCCCCTCGCTGCAGGGTTACATGAAATTGATAAAAACAAAATCCTTAATTAAACCATAATCCTTTTATGTCCGCGTGTGTCACAATGATGGTGCTTTACATTAGGGCTGCACGATACTTTAAAAACATGCGATATGCGATTATGGGTGTTGAATACAGTGATATCAATATCAGGATATTTAACAAGTACCTAAAGAAGAGACATTATTAGCCAATGAAAGGAATACAGCTTTTCATGCGGCAAAATAAGCAAGCTCGGTGTTTTCTCAGCTAATGAATTGGAATGCCCCTAGGTACTGTTCACCTACTGATTGGTGATATGCGTTTACAGTTGCATCTGACTGGTCAACTTCAGACAAAAGCATCCAATTCCAAATCAAAATTATTGCGTGTCTTTGCGATATACATATTGCATGGGCCATGATCGCCATAACGCTATTTTTTTTTCGATATTGTGCAGCCCTACTTCACATTGGGTGAATATCGGGTTCGATCCTCTTCAGCCGTTTTCCTTCCATAGTACTAAGTGAATGCTGTGATCTGGCATGCTTGTCGCAAACACCAGTCCAGAGTCGTTGTCCCCATCCAAGCCATTGAGCCACGATGTCACGCCAGCCAGGAAACTGGATCCACGTTTTGATTTCCTGTACGGCGGTAGAGGCCAGCGGCCTGAAATTGACTCTGTCCTGAGATCCATCACGTAGAGGAAATGGTTGTCAAATAGGAGTGCAAACACCTCACCGAAGCTCAGCAAGGACAAGTTGGCTGGATCCTGCACTTTTATCACCCTGGGAAAATAAGAATATGTCGGATTAAGAGTGACGGGAAAAGTAAAGTATTGACTAAAAAAGTAAAGTATTGACTAATTATAGGAGCAATTAATTCAGATTCTCTTTCTTCTGCTTTCCATGGTGGAGAGATGTGGACTGGGGTGAGCGCATTACATCCAAAGGGAAGGGGGATTCTCCCATCTGTGGCCCCTTCTCAAGGTTAAGATCAGGGGATGTTGTTAATATCTGTGGGCAGGTGAAGCCTTTTGAGACTTTTTATGATGAAGGGCTATAGAGATAATTTTAACTTGACTTGAGTTGGGCTGAGATGCAACTTTTGATACCTTTATTGTGCAGAAATGTTAAACGGTGTGGGCTGGGCTGAATCCTCACAAGAATAAAAAATGGCAGAACAATAAAGCGGAAGCATGCAGGAGAGTAAGATGAGCTCCTTGCTCCACAGCAGTCCCATTACAATAGGGGTGCCCAAACTTTTTGGACCGAAGATCTACTTTTCGATCAACCAACCTCCCGGGATCGCCCCTTACCGGCACGCGCACGCACGCACGCACGCACGCCATGATGAGAAACAGCCTGACACTGAGGCATGCGATGCACTTTTGCAGCCTGTTAACTATCCTAGCTCACATGTACCGTTTTAAAGTGCTTCCCTGGGCCCTCCTAGATTCCTATTCTTTGCCCGTGCCCTCGGTGAATTGTACACGAAGCAAACTCTGAATTAGAATAATGACGATCAAAGATATAGCGCAACAGGTCTGATCACAAGCTGCAATTGCAGATTTCTGAGCGCTAACAACTGACGGTGACGTAATCACGCGCCACCGTAAGTTCAAGATCTACTTGCTTTAATTAATTAATTAATTAAATTTTTTTTTTGTGAAAATGAGACTGATAGGATGATTAGGGTGCAGCATACATTAACACAAAAAACATATTACTAACATGTACAAAGACACACAAATGGTTGCTTGTTTGTGTTTGTTTTTTTTTCTCCTAGACACTCCTCGGATCTACTTGGGACCTGTCTTAGATCTACTGGTCGATCAGGATCGACGTAATGGGCATTACAAACATAATACAGTCAAACCTCTTTTCAATGTTCCCCGTTTACGCTTCCACCCCTGTAATGTTCATATTTCAAAGTCCCGATTTCACGTAATTCATTTTTCAGTTGCCAATTTTGCTGACAACGAACACATTTATAATGTAAACTTCATTATGATGACCAGATTTTTCCCACAAAATAGTGAAAAGGTCTTCGTTGTAACGAACCGCGGGAAATTAACTGTCGCCGCGAACTTGCTTATGAACAAAATGTCCAGCGCGGGATTCCCCTACGTTGCTGAGCAACGCTACTGATCAACTCGGACATTGTTGTACTTCCGGAGGCACGGCACAGTCCTGAGCACATGGTATGCAAACATGTCTGGTAAACGGAAGCAAATTTCGCTGTGTGTGAAGGCTGAAATTGTCTCTCACTTTCGAAAGAGAGTCTTCCAGACAAAGCTCAGCTGAGAGTAGGAATTGGCAAAGTCGATGATTTCGACAATCATCCGTAATGGCAACAAAGTCATGGCAGACTTCGAGGCCAACAGATTGAAAGACGATCGTAAACGGATTTGGGGCACGGCGCATCCTGAACTGGAGAAGTCACTTTTCATTTGTTGACTGAGTGTTTTCAGAGATGAAGTAGGAACACTACAGTTATTTGAATGGAAAAAATCCAAACAATGTGATGTGTTGTCATATTAAACTTTATTGATTTGTTTAATGATTAAACGTTTTCTCTTTTTGATATTAAATGTCTTGGTTAAACTTTTCAACATGCTTATCCACTCACACAGACCCACGCACACACGCACTGAACTCCACAGGCCTCAAGAGTTTTTCCACGCTGGCGTCACACACAGCCTCAGGTGCACAGCTCCGCACATCGGGCCCCGATCATAAGTCACGTAAGCTGGTGCGAAAACTCAGTCGAAAGAGGCGTTTCCTGCTGTCGCCGACAAAGAATTAATCAAGCGTTTAGCCATTTCGCTTCTTTGCATACCCTTTGCATACTCAACACAAGCGCTGAGAGACGACCGACGCTTTTCCGCCACCCTGATGAATCCATCAAAGCGGATGTGATTTATACACGTGTCTGCCTTCACAGCGGAGGCCACCCGGCTCAAACGGGCGCACACGCGAGCATCATCAACACTAGAGGGAAGCAGGGAGGGGGGTAAAAGTTTGCATAAAACAAGCGCATATGTCCATTTTTCGGTCTCTTGATGATGATGCTTCACTCGCTCGACGCGGGGATTTGTTGAGGGGGGGGTCGGCGCGCAACTGAGCTGAGCTGAGTCCACAAATGTTTTGTTTTGTTTCTTCGCTTGCAAAAAATAGCAACCCGCATGCGCACATAACGTTATCTGTTGCGTCCCCCCCCAACACTGAAAACAAAACAAAACGAAAGTAAATTAGAAGAAACACACTCACACACCACACCACAAACACACATAGAGGCACAGTGAAATCGCGTTGATCACACAGTCAATTCGTGTGCGGTGACTTAAATGGTTAAACTATTTTTCGGTACTGTACCGTTAAAATGACGCCACGGAAAAGACACGCTACTGGTAACTATTGTTACCGTGAAATCCTCAGGCTTGCCGTAGTTTTTTTTTGTTTTGTTTTGTTTTGACTGAGAAATGTCCTTGCGTCCTAAAAACGCACATTATTTGGAACTGTGCGTCCCGTGGGAAAATTATGCGTCTAGGATGCGGGACGCAGAGGTAACGAGATGGCTGTAACACCCAGCCGCGGGGTACCCAACTCTCTCGCCGCCTTAGGCGGCGAGCGGGGGTTTCAATGTCTACTTGTTTTATGTTTTATGGTTATTTTGTTTACATTTTTGATGGGGGGGAAAAAAAAAAAGATTAAAAAAAAAAAAACTTTGTCCGACCTACCGACCCTATGCTGAAATTTCATGTTACCGGAAACACAACTTTTTTTTCTACGCCTAAATGGTCATACTGTATTATACATTGTAGTTGGCGGCCATTTTATTGGAAATGATTACAATGAACTACCGTTATAACGTACATATTCGTTATGTCCCTCGAGGTGCATTGTAACGAGGTTGTAGTGTTTTACAATAACACTGAACCATATTGAGGAACACTGGATTCGACAAGACTTGCTGATAATTTTACCTGAGAATCTCAAAACTGGCAAAATCCCACTGATACACTCCGATGTCAGAGCTGCAAACAATGTGGCGTCCATCAAACTGCAAACGGGGCTGAAGGCTGATGCTGCGGTTCTCCGACACTGACAGTGTCTTTAAGCACTTACAGTTGATTTCTTTCCCTAAAGGCCAGATCTGAAAAGAGAAGTCAGTGTTGGATCCATATTATGGATGAAAAAAATATATATATACAGTGAAACTCCTCTAAAACGAAACCTACATGGGCGAAAATACCCCCTAGTGTGAAAAAATCTTCACACATTAAAACCATTTTCGCTTTTCTGCTCCCGCTACAACGGGCGAAAATACCCCCTAGTGTGAAAAAAATCTTCACACATTAAAACCATTCTCGCTTTTCTGCTCCCGCTACAACAAAAAATCCCCCTGTTGCGTGATACGAAATCTTTTTCTCTGCTCTTGCCTCGCAACAAGATTCACTACAACAAAAAAAAGCCTTCCACAAAAGTCTAATCCAACCTCAGCCTACAGCGACTCCTACTGCTTAGCTCGGAAACGGCAACAGCAAACACCACAGTGGCTTACACATACACAGTAGTACAGGAAGTATTTGTTATTGTTAGTTTCAAACGCAGCACGAACGCAGCACGAGCATTGCAAAAATGGCGACAAAACGGACCTTTGCATGCCAAGGAGTTAAGAGAAGAAGAGCTCTGACGCCTGAAGACAGGGGAAAAGTGATCAAAATGAAAGATGGAGGAAGCAAAGTAAAAGACATGATGCAAGAAATTGATGTAATTGAAAGTAAATACTGATCGTATTTTGCAAACTTTCCCTTTTTTTTTTCCTACGCTGGCTATATGATGTGTCAAATAAGTGTATGCTCATACTTATGCACTATTGGTATAATAAAGAGTACACATACGTGTGTGTGTGTGTGTGTGTGTGTGTGTGTGTGTGTGTGTGTGTGTGTGTGTGTGTTTACATCTGAGATAAATTTGCAATCGTGAAAATTCCCCTGTTGTGAAAAATGTCTTGCTGCAAACATTTTTTGTTGTAGAGGAGTTTCACTGTAATGTAATACATAGTGTATGACAACAAAACAAAATCAGGGTTTAACAAATCAGATGAGGCAAAAGCTTCAGCTGTGCATCCTGACCGAAACAATAAGATCGCGGCGACAAGATTTTTTTATGTTGCAACAAGTAATCCATGCGAGATGGAAATTTGAACCAGTACTTGCCAGAAGGTGCTGAAGCCTTTTCATCGTGACTACAGGCCTCTGGGTACACCATCACAGTTCACGTTTTTTTCTTTTTTTTGTATTATACCTTTAAAGGTTTTTTTAATTAAATTGTGCAGGTACATTTTTACATGACATGACGGAAAGCTCAGAAATGATTAAATCATGCATCTTGTGCTCATAGCCCCCACGAAAACTTTTTATCTCAACAGTAGTGGATAGAGTGAGGAAGGGAGCATTACCTTAATTTCATACTTATCAGCACTCAGGAGGATGTAATCACCAGGACTGTGCACCACAGACTCCACTTCACTTTTCTGGAGTATCACCTGTATGAAAATGAACATAATTTTCAGACTTCTTTTATTAATTTAGACAACCCCTTCTTTCATCATATCAACCATTGCGGACCCTCAAGTCTTCAAGTCTTTGGCCGTCGGAATAACCTGGCAGACAATGTCAGGACCAAAGAGAGCATTGATATTTTTAAAAGGTGGCTCAAGTTCCACCTTTTTAGCCTTTATGATGCCTTTGTTTTATCCCTGGTATTTATCTGTATTATTTTTTTATATTCCTCTTGAAGCCATATATCATTAAAAAAAAAAAATTGGGTGACCTGAGTTTAACCTGATCATTTTTTTTACTGTCAAGACTCTCTGTTGTTAACTCTTACTGATTTCACTCAATGTTGTTATTGATTGTTTTGGATTTAATTATTTATGATAGCACTTCTATTTCCTATACATTATGCAGTACTCTTAGTTTATTAAATGTATACTGTTGGTGGTTTTTTTGTTTGTTTGTTTTAATTTCCTCACTGCAGGGGCTGTCAGTGATTGGAGTTGGGGTGGGCTCTGGCTTTTGGGGAGTGAAGGGGTCCTACACCTGACTCCTCCATCTACTCCGTGCTCAGGCTCAGCTTTGCCTCTTTGCAAATATCCCATGTTATAAAATGAGACCCGGCTATTAATACGAAAGCCAATGTACGTTTTAATCTGGTGCATTTTGTAGTCCAGAAAGGCAAAAACAGCTTGGTACGAAAGCAAAATATCAAGAATTTTTAAAAACAAGGAAATGTTTGAATGATAATGTATGAGGGTTGCAGCTATGGAATATTTTGGTCATCGGATATTTTACTCTTATCTTAATTTTGTTATTCATTGTTATGGTATGCATTTAAATTTATTGTATCCTGTATCTTATTTATTTTTCTACGTAGGATTGTAGTTGTTCCCAGTATTGCACTCTCCTGTATCAAGAAGTCAGATGTTGTTCGTAGTATCTGCTGGAGCCATCCATCAGCTTGGGCGGTAATATACATACATATATAATTAAACATGGCTGTGTCAGGCTGCTAGTTACATCATCTTTTCTTTTATTATTTATAATTTTATCTGTGGTTTTATTGTTCCTGTTTTGATTGTAAGGTGTCCTTGAGTGTGTTTTGAGAGGTACTTATAAATAAAATGTATTATTATTATTATTATTATTATTATTATTATTGGCTCAGCCCGGGGCTGTAGCTAATCATTTGGGAAGCAGGGTAAACCTAGCCAACGCCCTCTGTATGTTCACTCCTCATCCAGGTCTCCGTTTCATATCAATATCTGCTCATTGTTTTATTTATTGTTGCGTCACTAATGGCTTAAGACCCTTAAGAAGGCCTTTGTGGGCTTCTGGCGACATCATCGGCACGAATGGCAACCTAGAGCGATAGCTCCCTTGAGTAGTGATGAATTTCACCCCCCTAAACGATTTCAAAAGAAATTAACTCCATAAAACTTAATTAAGAACGAGGGTTGAATCTAGGGAGAAAGGATGCAAGTGATAAGGGCAATGCAGAAGAGCCTGCAAATGACATGAAAGCAGGGAATAGCTCTGTGATGCTGGACGGTAAGGCTAATGCTAACGCTGAAGCTAATGGTGATGTGTCATAGTAAAAGGGTGAAGGGCAATGTCAAATTTGATTTGGAATGCAGATATCGACATCACAAAATGCCTTTTGTTAACAGCCGTTCATAAAAAGTAGCCACAAAAAAGGCATTTTGGAATTTAAGAAAAATATCTGCCAATAGTCATGAACAACACAATCTCTCTCAAAAAAAAAAAAAAAAAATACGAATTGATAGAAGACCTTGGTAACCCATTCAGTGTGTCCAGTCAAAGTGTTGAGACAGGCACCGGCTGCCAGAGCCCAGACCTTCACAGTGAAGTCTGCAGAGCCGCTCACCAGCACGTCCATCTCATCATTGTAGTCCACACTGAAAACTGAGCAGACACAGACCAAATTACTGTATTTTCTGCACAATAAGGCACTTCGGATTATAAAGTGCACCTTCAATGAATGGCCTATTTTAAAACAGTTTTTATATATCGTGCGTATTGCATTATAAGGTGCATAGAATAGAAACTACAATAGTGACTACAGTTGCGCTATGTACCCACTAGATGGTGCTATATCTCTGCGTCGTGGGGTGCATTATGGGTATTGTAATTATCAAATAAAAAACTGGTGGGAAGCAACATAATAACCTGTGATTTGGACAATTTCAACTGCTGGAAAGTTGATGTTTTTCATGTACTGTAATCTATTTTAAACCTAAACAGCGAAACAAAAAAAATCAGGGTGATGGGTTTCGAATGTTGAACCAACTGTTCATTTAAACAGTAAACGGTGTCATTTCATATTCCATACACTGATCGACTGCACTTCTGCCGGGAAACAACAGTTAAGATTAATAACGTTTTTAATGACATTAGTTTGTATGTGCACTGCACCGCAACTGTATAGTCGCCAGCTAATCTATTTTTAGCCTTGTCGCATTTGATGTGAGAGGAAAGACATTGCGCTAGGAGGCGGAAGCTCCATCTCTGTGCTCTTGACAATCCAAACACAGTAATAGTAATAGTTCATGTCATTTTTTTGTCTTTGACTGGTAAAAAGTCTGAAACCATTTTATTTAGGTCCAAAAAAAAGAAAGACCTAGCTACAGTATGTGCTATGTATTCAATTTTAGCATCTCATTAATTCAAAAGCGCTTTCATCACTCAGCGTAGCTACGTGACTTCCGGCCATGCACATTCAAGCCAATTACAGATGCCAGAGGGCAGGCGTGTTGGTTTTTGAACTCACATAAAAATTGCTCCGTTGTCGACGCCGAATTAAATAATTTTTGCTTAGCGAGAATACAAGACACTACACTGTGGTATCGAATGTTTGTTGAGCTATTCTCGATATTACGAAAAAGGTCAATGCTGTTTGCGGAGATAGGGCCAAATCTGTATAGCACACGCAAGAGGTTGGGTGTTCATCCGGGACTTCAGCAGGAACACAATGTGAAGTGAGGAACTTGAATCTGGTAAGTTAGTAAGACTTGTTTATAGCTTTTGAACTAAGAGAGCAATATTTTGAGCAAAAGCCTTGGCCAGCTCAATGACTTGTGATCGAGTTAATACTTTTTTATTCATTAATGTCAGAGAGAGAGGGAGGATGTAAACGTTCCATGTTATATTTAGTGTTTATCAGTGTTTGCATTTTAATTTATGGCAGGAGTTCATTGTAGAGTAATTATACAATCCATTAGATATATTGCTCCATATGCTGATCGAGTATCGTTTTTTTCACTGATCAAGTCCAAAAACTCAGATAGTGTAGGCAGAATCGGGAAGTGGATTCTGCCAAACAGACCTGTCAAAAGCCCCGTCCGTCGCCAGAGCCTGAAGCTCCACATTAGCCTTAAAACCATTAACAATGACGTGGGAGATGCTATTTGATATTGTGAAATTCGAGGCTATCATGTGTGAGACTGTGAAGAGAAAGATCCAATCTTCATTGAAGCCTTTTGAGGGGCAAATCAAAACGCAGAAAACACCACCATCAGCTGGCTTGAGGAGGCAACTACCGAGCAGGCCCGTCAGCTAAATAAGCTTCAAGCTAATGTGGCTTCGTGAGTCATCTCTTCTTTTGGCAACTCCATTACTCTTTGCAATGAGACGACAGCAAGAGTTTGATGAAATAAAACAAACTACATCGCACAAGAATATCACATAATTGGCACACTACAGCTAACTCCAGCTTTAGTGCTCTGAGTGATTGACAATCATGGCAAGAGAAACAGTCAAAAGTGTGGTTACATTTGTCAATGGTTGATGGTGATGCCACACATGCAATCAATCATTAAAAAGTCATGGGGAAACACAAGCTACCTTAAACAGAAAATGCTTTTTGCAGTCTAACTGCACGTATCTTGTTGCTCTAAACCAGATTTCTTCAGGGATGGCGCAACACCGGGCGTGTTCTAAGCTCATCACAAATCTATGTAGCTCCAGTTGAGCCCCTCCAATATTTTATTATGTATTCTAAGATATATTTTTATGTATAAGTAAAGTCCCCCCGTTAGTCCCGGAGACAAAAACTCCTGGAGCCATGTCTGGTTTTCTATAGGAGTGTTCACATGGCAACTTTTACTCCGGTGTAGCACCGGAGCTGCCCCCCGTAGAGCGTTCACACGTACAACGTTATACCGGTGTAACCCCTGAAAACAGCTTAAACCGGAGCAAATTTAACCCTGCTCAGGAGGTGGTTTAAAAATTTGCTCCGGAGTAAATGCTAGTTTGCGGGGCAGCACCGATATAAAATGGAACGTGTGAACGCTACAGGGGTAGACGCACTACGCGTGAGAAGAGTTGATTACATACACGCATTGCATAACTTGCATCCTGGGTATTTTACACTTCCAAAATGGCGAGTAACAACGACGACATATGCGATAATGGAAACGAACACGGGCGACGATGAAATGTCAGCCCTGATAACTATTTGGGCTGACGAGACCATCCAAGCCCAATTAGAAGGATACAGGAGAAATAAAGCGGTGTTTCAATCTTCAATTTCCATCTTTCCTTTCTCTCTCTAATCCTTTTACGGTGTCTGATAGACCACAGCGTTGATTTGTCTGGAGAAGTATAAACCATGGTTTTTCGATATGTCACAAACATAACGGGGAAAAGGAAGTACACTTTACGCATGTGCATGTTTTATTTCCATATTATCGTACTGCACGGCCGCAGAAGCTGCCGTGTGAACGCAAGTGGGGCTGCACCGGGGTTAACACGCTTCTCTTGAGTAAGCAGCTTTATACATGTGAACGCTCCACAAAATTTACACCAGTGTAAGATATATCGCAACAAAATACATCGGTGCAGCACCGATGCAAATGTGTGCCATGTGAACACCCCTTTTTAGACTAAAAACGGGTTCTATAATGTTTAACCTTACAAAAGCATTTTATTCAAACCGTGTAAATTATTGTTTTTATGTATTTATTTTGCTGCTCGGGCCCTAACGAGTAACTGCACACTAGATTTGGGGAAGCAGGAGGGACACCAACACCTAATATGGTAGATTTGGGCCAGCGTGAGTATGCTTTTCTATCTATACAGGTAGTTGCTTGTCAAACCATAATTCATAGAAATGGAAACAATGAAAGGTGACATTGGTGCTGCTTAATGTTGTTCCTTTCCCCAGCTTTGCAAGACTTGGTTTAATTGTTGTAATCCGCTCTGAAATGTCCTAATTGCCCATCTTTGTACATATGGAATGATTTTTGCCATAGGTACACAAATAAATAAATAAATAGATAGATAGATAACAAATCGATCCACAGCAAGCCTGTGTCCTCAACCAACCTGCTCCAGTGTGGCCACGGAAGTGCTGAATTTTGGCCCCTGTGCTCCATTCCCAACATGCAATCGTGTTGTCAAAGGATCCAGTCACGAGCTTCTGTTCATCAAACTTCACGGTGGCACAGGTGTGAGTCTGAATTCCATAAATGCATTGACCAGTACGTACATCCCATAATTTTGCAGAGAGATCATCAGATCCTGGAAAGTAAGACAACATACAGTTAGTTTAGTCACAATACCAAAAGTATGACTTCAATAATATACTACGCGTTCCAAATTATGATACAAATGAAATGTTGCTCTGATTATTATTGTCTATGCCAGGGGTTACCAATGTGTCGTTTTTGATCGACCAGTAGACCGCGAAGGGGGTGTCAGTTGATTGCATAGCATCAACTCAATCACTGCCAGCCCTCCCAGTTTGCATTGTCGTACATAAAAATCAGTCTATCATTCATTGAAAATTAATGTTTTCTCGGTGAACTGTGGATTGCCACAGCAACGGCGTTTCGCAAAAACTCATACATTTCAACATCATAAGGGCTAAACACTCTTTCAAGCAAAAATTGAGTAAATCTCATTAGCCCGCAAGAGGAAAACATCAAAGAATAATAGATTTTGTCTCGGTGAACTGTGGATTGCCACAGCAACGGCGTTTCTCAAAAACTCATACATTTCAACATCATAAGGGCTAAACACTCTTGCAAGCAAAAATTGAGTACATCTCGTTAGCCCGCAAGAGGAAAACATCAAAGAATAGATATAGTTCCTGTTGCCAGTAGGTGGCGCTACCACTGCGATGAAAAATAAATTTGTCCATGTCTTCAAGCCCAGACTTTCACAAATGTTGACTGTATGACTGTATATGAAAACAGTTTTAAAATAGGCCATTCATTGAAGGTGTACCTTATAATCCGATGGGCCTTATAGTGCAGAAAATAAGGTGCATAGAAAGTGCGCCATTTGTCGATGTTTTTACACATTGGAAATCGCTATAAATTAAGCAACAGCATACCTGTGCAGAGAAGACCATCCTTATAATAGAGAGCATACACACGAGCACTGTGGCCAATGAGTGAGGATGTCTCAAAGGCCTTCTGATCCTTCAGTTGAACCATACGCAGTTTAGCTTTAAGGTAGACACCCTTCCAATGGGATGCATCCTGAATGGACTCGTCAATCCTCCAGCCCAGCTCCCGACAAACGTTCTGCCACACTTCTGTGCATGAATTGATCACCTAAAGAGAGATGGACACTTGTTAAAAGGTTTGAACAGCCTAAAATGACTGAAAAGAGACTTAAAATATGAAAACATCCAACAAAGGGATTTTAATGCAGTGCTTTCCAAGTTAAAGTTGTGAGGATATGTGAAAAAGTGATACTTGTACGAATAGTATATTAATACTAATGATACATCCATCCATCCAGTTTCTAATCCGCATATGCTCACAAAGGTTGCAGGCGTGCTGGAGCCAATTCCAGGTCTCTTTGGGCAGTAGGCAATGTACACCCTGAGCTGGTTGTCAGATAATCACAGGGCACACATAGACAAACAACATTCCGCGCTCACAATCACACCTAGGGACAATTTGGAGTGCCCAATCAACTGGTTAGTGCATCACAATCACAGTGCAGAAGTGCAGGGTTCGATTTTGCCTCCGGCTTTCCCGTGTAGAGTTTGCATGTTCTCCCTGTGCCTGCGTGAGTTTTCTCCAGGTCCTCCGGTTTTCCCCCAAATTCCAAAAACATGCATGGCAGGTTAATGGAACACTCTAAAGTGTCCCTAGATGTAAGTGTGAGAGTGGATGGTTCTTCGTCTATGTGTGCCCTGCGATTGGCTGGCAACCAGTTCAGGATGTACCCCGCCTACTGCCCAAAGACAGCTGGGATAGGCTTCAGCACGCCCGCAGCCCTCATGCAGATAAAGCGGTTCAGATAATGGATGGATGGATGGATGGATGGATGGATGGATGGATGGCATTTTCAATACCGCTTATCCTGAACAGGGTCATGTGGGGGTGCTGGAGCCTATCACAGCTGACTTCGAGCGGAAGGCAGACTACATCCACCCTGACCTCATTGCCAGTCAGTCACAATGCACTTATAGAGACAACCAACCATTCACACCAACATCCACACCATCACTGAGTGGGAATCGATCCCATGCTACCCGCACACAAGTCAGGCAAGTGTACCATTACACAATCGTTGACTTAATAAAATAAGAATACAATTTAAACAAATACTTGGGGAAGAGGGGAATAATCAAGGGGCCACTCAGAGTGTGGCCACAGGGCGCCGCCAGCCAGTTGCACACCCCTGGTTCAAAACAGATTTGCCCCTAACTATGGTCCCAACCACAATGATATAATTTCAAATTCATATTTTAACGTGTGTTAAACATCAAACAGTGTTGCCACAGTTACCTTGAAAAAGTCATTCAACGTAAAAGTAAAAAAGTTTTTAAGAAGTAATTGTTGTCTGACGACTTGTATGGAAAAAGTAATGGAGGTTAGTCATTACTCCAAAATGCATATTCGAAAGTAACTCGCTACTTGATAAAGTGTTAATGACATCCCGACCTGCAATTGATTTGACATTCAAAGGAAGTGCAAAGACACTGGCGTGATGTCACTTTTCCCCCACTTATAAAAATACTAATTGCCAAGCAACGAGACCTCCATTGTTAGCTTGAGGTTTTAAACCCACTCAGGGGAGGCTCTGTCACTTCCAGACATACAAAGATCTCAGTCTGTCTATGAGTTGCATCGCTTCAAGATATTTCTTTGACATAATTTATTAATTTCCCATTATCAACAGAATTCAACTGAATGGGAGCTATGCGCATTAATTGAAGTCGGGGTCTTCTCCTCGCAAACTTGGAAATGGACCCTCATGCACATACCAAGTGGCTCCAGTGGAAAAACTGACTCATGTTGAGATATGTGCCAATGCTGTGCCGGACTATAAATGTTGTGTACAGATGTGGAAAAAGTAATCATCTTAAATGTGTTATAATTTGGTTTTCAATTTTATACATCATAAAAAAAAAAAATAGCTGCAATATTTACTTTATTCCACTGCTTGGAGACTAAGCAGCAACAGAGTAAAGTCTGTGGATCTAACCAGCGCAGCAAATAGAAAGCCAGTTCCAGCGGCAGGAGTCGCAGAAAGTCACGTTTGAGGAGTGCCTCCAGGCCATTTGACAAATGACGAAGCTGGGCTGCACCGCTAAGGGATATAATGTGGTCCAAAGACTGGTTTCGCTGCTGGTCATTTAGTGTGAGGAAAGTGGTCGAGACTGACTCCAGCCACCTCTGGAAATCTGTTCTCTCCATGAGCGCTCATTAGAGCAACCAGCAATCCCTAGAAGAAGAAAACAGGGTCATAGATTAGTATTTCAGTGTCACTCTGTTTTTTTTTTTTTTCTGTAAAACATTCATCGCATCATTCATAATGATGACACGATAAGCTCAACTCATCAAGTCCAAAAACTGAAACTGTAAAATATCCCAACCCAACATAAATTTGTAATTTGTGCAGGACACACAGTTAAAGGCGTTCTGGGTCAAGTGGAAGTTGAGAACCGAGAGACTTCCTGTGCCAATATAGTGGAGTGTGATCATATTTCAATATGATTTGTGGTATTATATAAAATGGACTGTTATTTTGATATGTGGGTTTGGTATTGGCGTATCGGTGGCAACACTTGCGCCGAATTTGCCTGACTTGGGCTTCAGAGCAGAGCGCCGCTACCACATCACCGGTTTGGGAGCACAGGCCATGAAGTCAGCAGCCTTGAGGGGTTCAAGGAGTGGGATTTACTAATGTACACTCCCAAAGCGTAAACTGCCGTACTATACATTGATTTCGCTCTGTTGCTATGTATAGCATCCGAGCATGTCACTCTGTAAGCATGACAAATGGATTTACACTCGATGCAACTGTTTCATTAATGTAATGTTTGGTTATTCTTGGATCGATCAGTCGCGCCTGGAGAGGGACGGATAGATGACATCATCTTGTCTTTTGCCAACGACAATATTTTTTGCCATAACACAACAAGCAAGAATTTTCAACAGATGATAAAAATAAGTATCTTACGCATGAATCTTTGTCATTTGACACACCACCACTGACTGCAATGTTGGTGCGGCAAGTGATTGACAAATCAAGGTGGGGAGACTGAAACAAAATTGTAACATTTCTTAAATGTTGATAGTGACATTGCACATCGCCAAAAGTGCAAACAGTCATTCAAATGTCAGGAGAACACACAAGGAGGCTTAATCATATCAGTTCATGACCATTTACCCCTCTAACAGCAGTCACCTTATCGTTGTAGAGGGGTTTGTGTGTCGTAATGTTGTCTGGGGCTAAATACCCTTGGCAAGTTTATCCATGGCAAAAAAAGTTCAAGTGAGGGACCAGACAGAGCACAGCTCTAAACACCTCTATGACATTGATGGGCAACTTTTTTTCATCAGAGTTACTCAGGGGCCACAAAAGACCACACACTTCCGAACCAGATATTTAACAAAAATGCAACTTAAGATATAAACAAAACACATGCATTTGTGCAAAACATCCATTTTGAATCCACTTATCCTCACAAGAGCCACGGCATGCTGGAGCCTATCCCAGCTGTTTTTGGGCAGCAGGCGGGGTACACCCCGAACTGGTTTCCAGCCAATCCAATCTCAGGGCATACATAGACGAACAAACATTCGCACTCACAATCACACTTAGGGAGAATTTCGAGCTGTTCCATTAATCTGCCATGCATGTTCTTGGAATGTGGGAGGAAACCGAGTACCCGGAGACACCCGCGCCAAATCGAACCCTGCAACTCTGCACCCAAGTTGTTGTCATGCTAATGAATGACATGCTGCATAGAATCAGTTAACTCGATGGAAGATTTAGCCATGGGACGAATTCCGCCGTACATAGTACCATCATCCCGTCGTGTTGCATGTCAGTCCTCAGCTCTGTGAAGTCATGGTTCTTTTTGTTCGATACTCGCAAGTTTTACCGCTTAAAAGATGTCATCAAGGTTGGCACCTGACAAAGCTATGTGAAGGTTAGTACACCTGAAGTCACCTGAAGTCATCGCCTATCACGCCCATCACAAGCAACTCAGACCTAAATCGAGCTAGGAATTTACATACTGTGTATATACCTCCACTAAAGACATTCATTTCCTCTGTCCCAGCAAGGGATCTGCGACCTCAAACTGATTCAAGACAGATCAAGGTTGAAAGCTGAACCAACATCCCGAAACCAAGCAACTTAGAATCTGTGCTGCGAATGTTAACACCCCTGCCTTGACTGCTACATTAAGTAGTATCAATAGAGTAAACTTACTAAATTAAACCAAGTGGATTGACGTTCCCAAGGATGCCAATTTATATACTGACAATGTAGCCATCTACCAATTGTTGTCGGAAAATTACGACAGCAAAATTGATAATTCTGACTTTTTCAGTAAGTACAAACTCCACGTAGATCCCCAGATGCACAATCGAATATGATCCAAATTAACTCATGACGCCGAAATCATGACCATTTATGAAATCCAGCGAAATAGAACAGCCCAAACCGGGGCGACCCAGGTCAGGTGGTCGAACAGATCCTCCTTGAAATCCACACCCCTGACCCCTTCGTCTTAAGATATGTATCCCTCCGTAATGTATCAACAAGCTCTATTTGGAGGGTTTTTTTCTTTTGTTCTTTAATCTCTCCCTTTCATGTTAATTTTTCCCCTTGCCTCATATGGCCTTATATTAGTCTCATAGCAGTGCAATACACCACCTACATTAGACTTGTTTAATTGCATGCCTTAAATCTCAGGACCATGCCCTTTTCTCAGTTAGGTGCTACAAGAACAATCACTGACTGTTTTGTTTTTCCCATCCTTCCTTTCTCTACTTGTTTGCTTACATACACATAGTTAACACCACACAACTAGCTACATACACGAGTCACATCACTGAAGGTGAGTGGTCGGCACCAGCTCTATGTCTTGGTTGTTGCATTGTTGTGTTGCTTAGATACCTGCTGATACCCTGACAGGAGATGTCGCCCTGAAAATCACCGAAGATTGGCTCCTGGCAGAAAACAGGGGAGCTGCAGTAACTACGGCTCCACAACCATGCAAGTCCATCTTTCTCCTGCACCCCACTTCGAAACAGGGTGTTCTCCATGTAAGCTGCCCAGTGGAATCTTGTTGCGAATATGATAAAATAAAATCATTGTTGAAGCCATAATGTCCAATATCCATCTTTAAGTAAAGACATAACGCCTTACGAGATATTTATAGCTTCATCACGAATACACTTTCCATGTGTGTTAACGTGAGAAAGAACATGAGCGGCAAGCATGGAAGTTTACGAGGCTATTTCAGACAAATAGGAAAATTTGCTTCTAAAAACCGTCCCATGGAAATCGGGCAAAGGAATAGGAAGTCTAATTTGGAACATGATATGTAGTGGGCTATGTCTATGAATATGCATGCTTTCACACTAAGGGGTGAACCATGACCCCTCCCTAGTGGCTTTTTGATTGCTTCAGCTGCTCTTCCTTCTCTTAAACTCATTCCTCCATGTTATTAGCACTCGGTCGCTTACTTTACAGACACGCTGCAGTATTCTTAGAAATAAGGGCAACCTGACGTGATCTCCAGCAGCTTCCCTCACTTTGAGCACGGAGGACCACCGGGTGGCAACTTTGCTGGGTTTCTCCACTCCCCCACTTTTATCTTTTTCCCCATTTTCAACTGGCTCCTCATCATGACTGATAACCATCATCATGAGCCAAATGTGACCCTCCTTCCACCAGAGTAAATGCACCCTTGCGATATCCTAGGTTTAAATGTGGTGCATATTTATATTTGAAAGAATAATCTGGGTTTTGTATGCTTCATACACAGAGTCTCATTATTCACCATTCATACACACATTTCTCATTCATCTTGGTTAGTTTTTAGATTTTCACCTTATTCACCGTTGTCTGCCTTCTTTTAGTTTACAGAAGTATCTGATCTTTGATTTAATCTGCATTATTTCAGTCGAGGGCGGCATAGTGGTCGACTGGTGAGCATGTCCGCCTTACAGTTCAGGGGTGCAAGGTCCGATTCCGGCTCCGGCCTTCCTGTGTGCATGTTCGCCCTGATTCACCGTGACAAAAAAAAAATGCTTTAACTTGACACAAATTATCTTATCTTTGCCAAATTTCACATATTTAATTAAAGTTTATGAGGAAGCATCACTTCCTCGTGTAAGGAAGCTGAGAGGAGTCGAGTGGTGTCTTCAGGTTTGCTCAGTTTGGTCGAAAACCGGTTTTCGCTCATAATCCGAGGCGTAAAAATCTTGAATTTTCTTTGGTCGATAACAGAGACGTTCGAAAAACAAGGTTTGACTGTATTTCATCTCATTCAATAGTCTTCCATGTCATTGATATGATTCCATATCATTCAGTATCTTCCCACAATACTCCCTACTATTCCACCCCCATCCGTATTATTCGAGATTATCCCACATCCCATCATTCCACATTATTCAATGTACTTGCAAATCATTCAACATTGTCTCATATTATTATTATTGTCACAACCACATATAAAAGACCAAATATCTGATATCTGTTGGACCTGTCAAATGATGGTAACGTATTTGCTTTTTTTCCTGGGTATGTTTTTAATTTATTATGCAAGTGTATTAAATGTAACGTTTATAGGTTTTTCTTAAGATATCAAAGGTGAAACTTTTTTTTGCTTAAATAGGTAAGCATTGAATATAAACACTTCCATTGTCATTTTTTAGGAATGGAATTGATCATTCTGGTTGAGGGGAAACAAGTCCATAAAGTAAACACTGACTTTTAGGTGAAATCTACTATACAGTATTGCATTACATTCACTGCTTAACTTTTTTTTATTTTCTTCGCTCAGCCTTTCCCCGATTAAAAACATGTTTCCCATTGACTTCAGACCCTGTATGTTTTGGTAATAAACACGTTTTACACAATATTTCCAAAAGTAATTTTATGAATATTAGATGGCTACATGTATTATCAGTGGTTGGCAATGGACAACAACGTTGGAGTGCAAGACGAGGCTTCTGGTTTGAAATTACAGTATTATTAACACTGTGCAAAACTACTGATGAACTTAAATGATAGTTGAATTACATTTCCGGGCTATTTGTCAAAGTTGATTTTCCATTACTGGTAGTAAAATGTTACTCCCGGAAAAAAAATGAATGCTTTAGTTAATCCTTTCAACATCTTACCGTGGGTATCATGACATGATAGATCACAGAGCAAACACTGTCATGTGATGAAAACTATTAGTTCATGACATGATTGTCGCCACTCGGGTGTGCGCTCGCAAATGCAGAAGGATTAACGTGACCAGTGTAACGTAAACAGTTCTACAAAGACAATTTTCCCGTCAGCAATAATATAATAAAACACCATATAATGTAATCGTTTAACAGTGAAAATGTTTCGACAAAGCATGTACTAACCGGACTGTAGAAATCCTTTTCACCATCTTTCTGCCATAGTTCATTTACTGATATAAGTTATCTGCTGGAAGGTAACTGGGCATCAATCAAGTTGAAATGCTTGTTGAACTAAGCTAGCTTCGTTGCTATCGTTAGCTATCCACCACGATCGAAGGAAGTATTCTCTTCTGACAGAAAACGTCACATAATGCATCTAGGAGCAGAGCGCTTTATATATTTCCAGGTGCTATGCTAGCGAACTACATTCGGTGAAGTCTAGATATTTTTGTTCAAGTAAGGTGAACTGTTTCAACTGGCTACTGTTGCGGATGTTTTCATTGGAACAGCAATCTTCTTCTACCGACTGGCAGATTCGTCACTGAAGCTGGAGCTACGATCCGCGAGGGTGCCGAATTACGGTCGGAGAGAAAAAGTGAAAGGAAGTGACTCTCTTGAAAAAAAATATATTAAGAAAAAGGGAACAAGTTCATTTTTGCAGATCTCGACAGTTACAACAGAGATAAAATAATTCTGTGTCTCTTTCGCTCTCTCTCTCTCTGCCCCTCCCTCCATCTCTCTCTCTCTCTCTCTCTCTCTCTCTCTCTCTCTTCCTCCCTCTCCCTCTCCCTCCCTCCATTCATCCATTATCCGATGTGCTCTTCCTGACGAGGGGCTCAGGAATGCTTGGAGTCTATCCCAGCTGACTTCGAGCAGTAGTCAGGGTACATCCTTTACCGGTTGCCAGCCAAACGCAGGGCACCCATAGATACACTCACAATCACACCAAGGGACAATTTGGAGCGGTCAATCAACCGATCATGCATGTTTTTGGAATGTGAGAGGAAACCGGAGTACCCAGAGAGAACCCACGCAAGCACGGGAAGAACATGCAAACTCCACATAGAAGGACCGGTGCCCAAAATTGAATGTACAACATTTGCACTCTGCACAATTGTGTAGAATATGAATATAACATTCCTGGTTGTGCTCAAATACTGTATTACTGTACTGTATACTGTAAATGTCTAAACATTCTTAAATATGAGAAATACTCCCTCAAAGTTACCCGATGACTATTAAATCTATTATACACTGCCTAAGAGTTCCTGAGTATCTTTAAATAACAAAATAATGTCTAAAGGTAACCCAAATAATCCTTGGTCTATTCAAAATAGGAGCTTGATTAAAGGAACTTGAATTCTCTTAAAAATCCGAAAAATCAACTCAATAACGACAGATTCAGAATGTACTGAACACATAAAATTGTAATACAATTAATGTATGAAATGTAAGAATTGGATGAACAAAAGATTGAAAACAATTCCAAATGGATTGTACTAGCAACTGTACTTAGCATGTACTGAACAGGATAAAAAAAAAAATAACATGAGATTTTGGCTGCAATCTAATAATGTGTTATATTGCATGTTTTAAACACTGGAAAGTTTTACTTGACTGTAATGTAGTAATTTTTTCACATGCATCGCCATTTGTGATTCTCATAGCACATTTTGAGAATCAATATCTTGTACCTCATCCTACCATTCAAATTATCACTGATTTCACAAGACTAGGTAAGGTAACACAAAGTTTTTACGCCAAGTACCACCTCCAAAAATATCTGGCTTCTTATGTACAGTACCACCATAGTGACCAACATTAAAAGGGTCACGGGTGTGCTGGAGCCTACCCCGCCATTCTTCGGGCAGTAGTTGGGGGACACCCTGAACTGGTTGACAGCCAACCACAGCCTCACTATGAAGTGAAATGTAGAATATGAATATAATAGTGAATAGAATATGAATAAAATATTTTAAAACATTTATTTTATGTGCACACGTGTAAATACTAGTACAGATAAGGTAGTGAGCAAGAGCTTGTCTTGACTTGTGTCTGCGGTGTTCCCAATTTAGCAACGTTTTTGCAATATTCAGCAACTTTTCCGACCCCATGAGCGACAATTTTTTTTCCAAAAAGACACTACCAAAAAAGACAGCAGTGCTCCTTATGTTCGCAACCTTCTTATTTCCTGCACAGTGGAGGGATGAGGGTGAATACGATTTGGCTTACCAACCGACGTTTTTTTTTTTTTTTTTTTTTGGTGGACGGTGGCTGGGGCGGCGTGGGGGATGGGGTGACGTTCCGCCTTCTGTTATTCTGCTGATGCTCACTGATGGACCTCTGTGAAATATTTTTTTTCAGCCAAATGTTGCCTATAACCAGCGCAAAGCATTTTTGCCATCTGTGTCTGTTTTGTTAAACTTTGGAACTCCAGTTGTAGAGGTAGCTATAAGTATTTGGAAATAAAAAGATGTCTCCAAACCCCAATTCCAATGAAGTTCAGACGTGTAAAATGGAAATGAAAACAGAATATGAGGATTTACAAATCATTTTCCAACCTATATTCAATTGACTACAAAAACAATATATTTAATGCTCAAACTGATAAATGTTCATGTTTTTTTTTTTTTGCAAATATTCACTCACTTTAAATTTGTTTCCATTCTCGCATGATGTAAAGCTTCAGTTGCACACCCGAATGAGGTGTCCTTTGTCACATTTTGTCGCCACGCATCTTCTATGGGGACTACTGCATACCAGTCTTGTACTCTCACTCTTTTACGAAGAAGCCATACTGTTGTAAAACGCGCAGAATACTTAGATTTGTATTGCTGAAATCGGCAGAGACATCTCTAAAAATAAGTTGTTGGATGGCAGCATAATTTGCTCCAAAACTTGTATGTACTGTTCAGCATTAATGGTGCCTTGACAGATGTGCAAGTCACCCATGCCACCTTCATTTCAAACTGTGTGCTGAAAACAATCTGAAAGATCCTTTTCCTCATTGATCAGGAGGATACGACATCCACGTTTTCCATAATTAATTTGAAATGCGGGCTCGTCAGCCACGGCACAGTTTTTCACTTTGCCTCAGTCCATCTCAGATGATCTCAGGCCCAGAGAAACCGATGGTGTTTCTGGATGTTGTTGATATATCGCTTTTGCAGTACATGGCTGCATGAGAAGTTGTTTGTTTTTGGTGTTTATCTTTAGAGATTTCCCCTGGTTCTCTGAATCTTGACCATGGATGATTAAATCATTCAATTTCTTGTAATTCTAAGTTGTGAAACATTCTTCTTCAACTGTTGTTGCACTTGCTCACAAAGTGGCAAACCTCATCCCATCCCTGGTTGTGAACAACTGAGCCTTTTGTGCATCCTCCTTTTCAGCATTCTCTCAACTTCCCAATCTTTAGTTGCCCCCGTCCCAGCTATTTTGGAATGTGGTGCAGGCATCAAATTCAAAATGAGATATTTGCAAAAGAACAATAACATTCATCAGTGTGAACATTAAATATCTTGAATATCTTGTTTGTAATGTATTTAATTGAATATGGTTAGAAATGACGTGCAAATATTGTAAAATATTGTACAAATTCTGTTTTTAATTTACATTTTGCAGAACATCCCAATTTTAGTGGAATTGGGTTTGTACATCAAGAAAAAAAGAAGAATATTTAGCTTATATACTTTTCACAATTATAAAATTCCTCGTCTCACCCGTTGGGTGGTGTCCGTCCCCCATTCAGCTCGCGTCCTCTACTAGAGGCCAGGAAGCTTGAGAGTTCTGCGCAGTATTCTTGCTGTTCCCAGCACTGCGCTTTTCTGGACTGAGATGTCCGATGTTGTTCCCGGGATCTGTTGCAACCACTCAGTTTGGGGGTCACTGCCCCGAGTGTTCCGACCACCACAGGCACTACTGTCACCTTTACCTTCCAGGCTCTCTCCAGCTCCTCTCAGAGCCCTTGGTATTTCTCTAGTTTTTGTGTTCCTTCTTTCTGATGTTTCCATCACTTGGGATCCCTACATCAACTACAACGGCTTTCCTCTGCCCTTTATCTATTATCACAATATCTGGTTGGTTCGCCATTACCATCTTCTCAGTCTGTATCTGGAAGTCCCACAGGCTCTTCACTCGGTCATTTTCCACCACCTTTGGGGTTTTTTCCCATTTTGACCTTGGGGTTTGCGGTCCATACTCCGTTTTAGGGTGGTTCTGTTTGTGACCAACAGGTGGCACTGTAGAATTCTTCTTGCAGGTGTGCCACTATAGGTGTGTCACTGCAGGAAGAGCCCTACAGTGCCACCTGTTGGTCATTGTGTCATTAGTTCATTCATTCATTCATTTTCCGATCCACTTTATCCTCACTAGGGTCACGGGGGAGGGGCGGGGGGTGCTGGAGCCTATCCCGGGGTAGTAGACGGGGGACACCCTGAACCAGTTGCCAGCCAATCGCAGGGCACACAGACGAACAACCATCCATGCTCACACTCCACTCACACCTCGGGACAATTTTGAGTGTTCAATCAGCCTGCCATGCATGTTTTTGGAATGTGGGAGGAAACCGGAGTACCCGGAGAAAACCCACACACACAAACATGCAAACTCCACACAGGGAGGCTGGAGCGGGGATTGAACTCTGCACTGTGAGGTCGACGCGCTAACCACTGGACCACCGGGCCGCCCTCATTAGTTAATGTTTCTGTTAAAAGGACTCCCTGCCCGACCTGTCGAGGTCGGGTCATTGTGTTTTGTCACTGTGTTTGTCTTTGTGTCCACCTTACTTTGTATTTTTTGTTAAATACATTTTGTTCAGTCCACCCTGCTCTTCCCTGCCTCCCTACTTTTTGGGGTCCTACATTATCAACTCGCAAATCCCCTAACAGTATTGTAGTTTTTGGGTAATCTTTTGTTTTTCACTTATCCTTGTCTATATTTGTGGGGTCCCATTCTTACCAATCCTCACCGGAACCTGACAGAATAATGGATCCCGTAGACTCAGATAAGAAAATAAAAGCTTTAGCCAGCCAAGGACGACCGGTGCGACAACGAGACCTCGCTTGTGGGGTTCCATGACGCGGCCACCCTGCTGGCTCAATGGTTTGAGGTAGTCATGTCGAGCATTTGGGAACCCGAAGGACACCACCCTCGGATACCCGAGCTGCAGCCATCTGGGTGTATCCCACCCCCGGTCCGCAGAGTGCTCAGTCTTGTGGAGTGCTTTAACAGCGCTCCGTAGCAGCAGCTTGCCATCCTCACGTCCAAGAATCAAGGCGAGTGGAACCACCAACACCGCTGGTGCTGGTGGCTTCTGTTTCAGCCATTCAAAGTTCCACAAGCTGTAGTCCTCCTCTGGTGATGCTGGGCTGGGAAATACAAACAACAGCAGAGATGAACCAGTGGGGAACAAGCTTGTTTGTCCCCAAATTTCCACTTGTTAAAATTCTATTTGAACTTGTTTAGACGTGTCACACCTCTCAAACCTGTCTGTCACTTTCTCAACTCCTTGAATATGCCGTTTAGCACTGTGGAGGCTTCTTTACATCAGGCAAGGCAGACATATTTAGGACTACCTTTCGGCTTGCCTCTCCCCCCAAACAATGTATGAAGTCAAACCCGCCGCTCTGTCTCTGCCTACCAGAGAGCTGAGCACAGGGGGGAGGTGTGTGTGCGTGTGCGTGTGTGTGTGTGTGTGTGTGTGTGTGTGTGTGTGTGTGTGTGTGTGTGTGTGTGTACAGACAGCTCTGTTTGTGTCAGAGCTACATCGCTACAAGAAAAAGAAAAAAAAAAACACAACCTTGTGGAAAATTATCTTATGTGGTATCTGGCAAACTATTCACACATTTGGATTAATTAGTAGTTCATTTGTCACTTTTTAATCTTTCAGTGTTTACAAAATGAATAAAAAAAGATACTTTTCACCTGACACCGATGGAAACAAAGAACGAGAATCGGTGTGAACGGTTTAACCAGCTCATGTCTTCCAGTTAGCCTGTCATGTCTAATTCTACTCCAGACTATGTGGCACTGGATCTTAAGACCTGGGCTGTGCTTACTGGCAGTTCGACAAAAGCAGTATGTTCTTTGCCTGCCTATTCGCACAAGGTGACAGTAACAAACAGGAAATCTCTCCATTTAATGTCAGGATTACAGTATCACCGTTTTTATAATACCCTCATCACATCATGTAAAATGGATTTTGGGAAGGCGTATTTTAATCTTAAGACTCTGTTTTTGACAACGATGATGTTCAAATGGGGTGAGTAGAGGCAACTTGGTTGTATTTTAATTTGTTTCCTGAGTGTAACCATTACTTTGAAACATATATTGCAAGAACAATTTAATCTTGAAGCCTGTCTGTCTGTAAACCTATTGTGTTTAGCTTGCATGTATTAGCATTATTACTGAGTAGATTTAATCTTCATAAGGGGTGGCACTAAGTAGTCACTATCAACTTGGGCTGTGAACCAGACGCTCATGGTTGCTTATGCTCATAGTCTCCGATCACAAGATGGATCAATATGTCTGTTTCATTAACTTGTTTATTTACTGTATACTTGTGTATTATTTACTGAGCAGCAGTAGAAGTATTGTAAAGCATTTTTACCAATGTTTAGTAATCTTTAGAATGCCGCAAGGAAACAAGGCATGGCTGAAAAAAGGAGTGTAATTTGAATATAAAACATTTACCGGTACTGTTGTATACATTAACAAGCAAGCAGAATGTGTGTGGGTTTTTTTTTTTTGTTTTTTTTTCCAGGAATGTAGCTGCTTTCAAAAAATTACTAGGAACAAAAAAATACTAAACACTTTTGTTAGGACCTTTTCAAAATTCTTATAAGAACAAGATTTATGAGTGGTAACTCCTGCACGGCAGAATGAAGTCAACTGTGATGCGGACTTTGTAACGTGGTCTTCGACTGTATTGATGGACATGGGAAGCGTTATGTCACTTTACGTTACATTTGCATACCATATTTTCCAGACCGTTAGGTGCACTGGAGTTTTCGGCACAATATCAATAAACGGGTCTATTTTATACATTGTCATACATAAGGTGCACCAGACTATAAAGCACATTATCTGTATGAAGAATTGTATGTCACATAGTTTATTGTACTGTATGTTTATTTGATAAATTTAGCGATATTATGCTAGGTTCAGACTGCGTCTTGCATGCTTTTGTTCACTGTCCAACCACACGCCAATTCCTTCAAGTGGAGAAGAGAAGGGGCTCTTTTGACAGATGAAAAAAGTTTGAACACCGTTTATTAACCTGGTGACCAGTGGTTGTGTTATTATATTGACTGCAAAATGCTATCTTGCTTGACAGTTCAAAAGCGGTAAACGTGTGAAATCACTAACCAGATTTGCCAACTTTCTCATTCGGCATTATCCAAACCTGCAATTTTTTTTCCTCTATCCTGGTATCTACTGGAAGCTGGCTGTGACATTTTCCTCTGTGTCCAACAGACCATAATGATAGTGTCCCACAATGTCCCACAACATTGAAAACGTGAAGCCAGAATCACTTGGCTTGCGTTCGGTCTGACCGCAGCATTAGGCTAGTACGACTACCGGAATTTGAATTCAATATTATTAATTGAAAAAACAACTCTGCACCAAATTACAAAGCAGACTGACGAGTTTTGAGAAAATTAAAATAGGTTGCTTACAATCAGGAGGAACATTATATTTCCCCATTCAGCCAACTCAAGTTGAATTGCAGGGTCAGAGTGGAAAAACAAGGCTTGTTATTGGTGAAGAAAATCCCAATGCAAAGATTTGTGGCCCTCCAAATGTCTTTTTTGTGTGGGTTTTTTAATGTAATTGTTCTGAAAATCATTTTTAAAAATACACATCTAATTACAATAATCTTTCTAAAATATTCAGTAAGAGTGTTGCATTGTTGTAATTCTGAATTGAATGAAATAGAAATTCATAAGAATAATAGGATAAAAGTATGTAACGGAGAAATGTGAGTCAATAACCTTAAATTTAAATCATATATGCTAGCCATTCTGTCATGAGAAGATTAGAGCAGCAAGGGGATTGTCCTGAACGGCAACAGGGATTACAACATGAAGAGGCTGCACAGGTCAAGGAGGCCAACTAACCTGCTTTGGCTCAACTCAACTCAACTGTATTTATAGTGCACTTTAAAACAACCACCGCGCTATATACAAACTGCTGTACATGGAGCAAAATAAATATAACAACAAATGAAACAGTAAAACTAAAATCAAAATTCGTATTAAGATGAGTTTTGAAGATGGGCAGCGAGGGGGCTTGCCCAAAATTTAACTATTCATCCATTTTCAACATCGCTTATCCTGAACAGGGTTGCGGGGAGTGCTGGAGCCCGTCGCTGCTGACGAAGGGAAAAAGGCAAACTACACTCTGAACTGGTCACCAGTCAATTACAGGGCAAACCTGAAATTTTGTGGGAGGTCATTCCAAAGAGAGAGACCGGCATCGGAAAAGGCTCAATTCCATCTGAGCCTTCGCTTAGTCCTTAGTACCTCTAAAAGTGTCTGGTCTGCAGACCTGAGACTCTGGTGCGTAGGGGTGGAGGAGCTCAGCAAGGTAAGATGCCATTTAAAGATTTGAAAACAAATAATAGAATCTTAGAAAGAACTCGAAAATGCACAAGGACCCAATGAAGGAACGCCAGATCGCATGGATGCAGGATGTCTTTGCTGTGAGGTTGGGAATAAATTTGTCTGTAAAATTTACCATTCCCATACTGCACATTGTACATGTTTTGTCTGTTGGTCTTGTTATGTTCAGTATCCCTTTTATTTTGTCTTGGTTTGGTTGTATGCCTTGTGTTGTAAGTTTGCCCCCAAGGAAAAGGATCTCTTGCACTTCATACTCACACTTGGCTCTGTTGTTTCAGTCCATACTTTTGTACGCGCTCCATTACCTTATAAAGCCTCTGGTTGTGCTCTTGGAGAGTCAAGCCCCATACGATAATGTCATCGACTCCCCCTAAGCCTTCAATATTTTCCATTGCTCTGTGGAATATTTATGGTGTAGATTTTATTCCAAATGGCGGTTAAGAGCGACACGGTGAAGGAGTGGTTAGTACGTCCACCTCACAGTGCAGAGATCCAGGGTTCAATCCCGGGCTCTGGCCTTCCCGTGTTGAGTTTGCATGTTCTATCGGTGCCCGCATGGGTTTTCTCCAGGTACTCCAGTTTCCTCCCACATTCGAAAAACATGCCATGGTAGGTAAATTGAGTTCCTTTAATTGTCTGTAGGTGTGACTGTGAGTGTGAATGGTTATTTGTCTGTGTAACCTGCAATTGGCTAGCAAACAGTTCAAAGTGTACCCCGCCAGCTCCCCAAAGACAGCTGGTTTAGGCTCCAGCATGCCCGTAACCCTCGTGAGGATAAGCAACCTTGGTAATGGATGGATGGATGGAATCCTTTAATAGTGTTATAAAGTGTTCTAGCCATATGACAAATTGGGTATTCGGTCACATACAATACCAGTTAGGTTTATCAAAGGTGCAGTATTTATTACTGCACTCATCCAGTCTTAAATGCCAGAAACCTTGTGAAGCTTTAAGTTTTGTGAAATAGGTTGCTCTTACCATTTCACTGATTTCACCATTTTTTCTCATGTGGGTATTTGGTAGTACTCATGCTTGATTTTTTTAATTTCGATCTTTTAGGCCCATGCATGTTCTCAACTCATCATTTTTTCAGACAACCTGGGAGTTGACCCATTCAGTAGCCTCCTGTCCAGTTCTTTTCTTTTGCTGAAAAATGTACAGAAGTGGCAAATCAGGAACAGAAAGTAACCACAATTTGGCTTTTGCCACGGGTGCTCCTACTCAACCGACAGTCTCCCGGGATACTTGTCTTATTTTGTATGTAAAGGGTATTGTACACAAAACCTTTGAACACAGAAAAGTTTGGGCCAATAACAGTGTCACATTTTGAGTCTGTCTCAGCAGTCTTTGCTTTTCACAGCTCTTGTCACCCAAAAGTGATTCACAATTGTCAGTAACAACCAAAAATTGTACATTGTGCACTGTTACCTTTAACATTGACATTCAATTTACAGGTACCAAAGCACTTCATGGGTGTCCATTGCAATCTTTCAACTCTTTCTGTGTATTTTTGGCATTACCTGCATTTCTCTTACATCGGACATGCTATAGACATTTGCTTTTGCACCATTGTCCAGTCTCATAATTATGAAATTCCCTTTAATCAGCAGGTAAGTGATCATCTTGTCTTCATTTGTGATGCTGCTGAGTTTTTCTCCTTCATTTTCCCAGTTAATGAGGTCAAGATAGAAAGTGTCACTTAAATCTGTGTCATTCACTCCATTTAACATTCGCCTCACTTTATTTCTTCGTGTTTGGTGAAACCGATTTGAAAAATAGCTTTTTTTCCAAAGCTACTACCTGTCTGAATGTAAATGATGAAAATAATAGTAAATATAGGACGAAATACAGTAGTCATTGCGGGGTGTGGGCAGTGGAAGCTGTACAACACAGCCAGATTCCAACAGCGGGACAGAGCCAAAAAATTAGCAAGTTTGGAATAGGTGGCGCGTTGTGAACGTAGCATTACCATATTCATTATTGTCGCATCGCCACTCTGAATTATTAACTGTTGCTTATTAGTATTTCAACACTAGTGGAAACTTTAAAGAGATCAAGGACTCTGCGTCATTTTCATAACTGTCGTTATTTTACCACGCTACTGGTCATTCACAAGCAAAAATGGGGCAAGGTTCACGTCTTTGTGAACAACTACGTGAGAAAATTGTCGAACAGCTTAAGGACAATGGTCCTCAGTGTATATCCATCCATTCATCCATCCATTTTCCAATCCACTTATCCTCACAAGGGCCGCAGGGGGTGCTGGAGCCTATCCCAGCTGTCTTCAGGCAGTAGGCGGGGAACACCCAGTTGCCAGCCAATCGCAGGGCATGCAGAGACGAATAACCATCCGCGCTCACGCTCACCCCTAGGGACAATTTTGAGCGTTCCATTAACCTGCCATGCATGTTTTTGGAATGTGGGAGGAAACCGGAGTACCCGGAGAAAACCCACGCAGACACGGGGAGAACATGCAAAGCCCCCTCAATGTACAATTCCAAGAAATTTCATTTCATATAGACCATGGATGATTTCATCATCCATGGTCTATAACAGGGGTGGCTAACCCGCGGCTCGCGAGCCGCATGCAGCTCTTTGGCTGGTTCAATTCAGCTCCCGGGCTTTCACACAATTGTCGAAAACGCCTCGGCGACGGCGCTGCCATTAAAACAACGGTGCTTAATACATGGAACGTACTACGTCAGCCTATCACCAATCCCATTACTTGATTGACATAGAGGGCAACCAATTAGATGACTGAATCACTGATTGACATAGAGGACAACCATTCAGATGACTGAATCACCGCTCATGCGCAGACAAAGGGACATACTTCGAGGACAACATGCATAATACTACAGCAGTGCAGTGTTTTGAAGGAACACTTGTGCTAGTGTTCCTTCAAAACAAAAAAATAAAAAAATGAAACGCCAGTGCACAATGTCACTTTTTTCCCCATGTGCTTGATGTGAAGTTGTGTTTTGAATTTTTTTTTTTAAATGAAGTTTTCTTTTCAATTTAAAAGGGAGAGTGTTATATGTCTGTCTGTCTATATGTCATCTGTCCTGTATGTTACACATACATACAGCACATTTGACAATAAAGTTGTATTCAATTCAATTCAATTTATGTTCGGGCGCTCAGGCTGTTGGTCGTCATTGCGTGCATGCATACGTGCACGAGTGCATGGTCGTGTGCGTGTGTGCGCGTGTGTGTGTGTGTGTTCATATGCTTGCACATGTGCAATCGGATCGATTGTGGATGCTTGCACGTGTGCGATCGGGTCGATTGTGGGAGGTTGGTGCTCCAAAAGTCGATCTTTGGGCAAAAAAGTGTGTGTGTGTGTGTGTGTGTGTGTGTGTGTGTGTGTGTGTGTGCGCGCGGCTCTTTGCAGTAACACAGACAAAAAAAATTGGCTCTTAGTCTCTGACTGGTTGGCCACCCCTGGTCTATAATATCATCAAAGATGAAGAAAATTTGGAGAAATCACAGCATGTAAGTGGCAAGGTCGAAAACCACAGATTCTCATCCTCAGGCATCCCCAGTGGGACGTCTGTACTGGCAAATTATTAGGTACACCCCGAATTCTCATCCCGAGAGTCCTCTGGTGGGTTGGCCATGTTGGCCAAAATATTAGGTGCACCCCGGATTCTCATCCCTCACCGTCCCCAGTGGGTCAGCCATACTGGCCAAATCATGAGCAACACCCTGGATTCTCATCCCTCAGCATCCCCAATAGTGTGGCCATATTGGCCAACACACTAGGAACACCCCAGATTCTCATCTCGAGATTCCTCCAATGGGTCGACCATGTTGGCCAAAATATTAGGTGCACCCCAGATTCTCATCCCTCAGCTTCCCCAGTGGGTCGGCCATACCGACCAAATCATTAGCAACGCCCCGGATTATCCCAAGACATCCCCATTGCGGCGGCTATATTTGCAAAAATATTACATACACCGTGCCACTAATGGCGTAGTGGTGCACTTGTCTGACTTGTGTGCGGGCACCGTGGGATCAGTTCCCACTCCGCAAAGGTATGAATGGTTGTTCATCTCTATATGTGTCATGGTTTGATCTTTTTGTTTCAGTTCCGGCTGAAGTGGAAGGTGTTCCCTGCAACGGTGCACCTGTCTCTTGTTGCAGTCACTGGACTTTATAAGGACTCCGACGACGGCTGTTCTTTATCGGATTATTAATTTTGCTCGCTTTTCATGCTTCAAGTGATTGTTTTCAAGACTCTTGTCCCTGCTCATAGTTCACTTTCGTCCGTGTTGATCTCATTTTTGTATGTTTTATCGCATCATGTTGTTCTCTTCAGTTTGATTTCGCATTATTGAACTCTTTTGCAATTTAGTTTTCTAGTGTATTCTTGTTTAACTATTACATTGCCATGTTTGCTCTGTGTTTTAATGGCTCTTTGTTGCCAGTGACCTTTGTTTGTACTTTGTCGGTTCTATGCTTTTCTCTAAATAAACACTTTTTGTTAAACCTTTATCAATGTCTACGTGTGTGAGATCTCATCATCATTTGGGGCATACCCGAGCCTTGTCAATGTTCCCTGCGACTGAGTGCCGACCAGTTCAGGGTGTAGTCCCGTCTTCGGCCTGAAGTCAGCTGGGATAGGCTCCAGCACCCGCCTGCGACCCTGTTCAGGATAAGCAATGATGAAAATGGATGGATAGATGGATTGCGTATACCTAAGATGCTTCCTTCCTTGCTTTTAATTTCCTACCTTGATTACTTGTTTTCTTGCTTCCTAGTTTCCTTCCTTCCTTCCTTCCTTCATAGATCCTTGCTGCCTTGTTCCCCAGCTTTCTTCCTTCCTTCTTAGTTTCCTTACTTCCTTCCCTGTTTCCTGGCTGCCTTGTTTTCTAATTTCCTTGTTACCTTGATTACTTATTTCCTTGCTTCCTAGTTTCCTTCCTACCTTCCTCGCGTCATAGATGCTTGCTTCCTTGTTTTCTAGCTTTCCTCGTTGCTTCCTAGTTTCCTTACTTCTTTCCTTGTTTCCTGGCTTCCTTCCTCACTTGCTTCTTAGTTTCCTTGCTACCTTATTTCTTTGCTTCCTTCTTTCTTTGGTTCCCAGTTTGCTTGCTTCTTCGTTTCCTTGCTACCTTATTTCTTTGCTTCCTTCTTTCTTTGGTTCCTAGTTTCCTTGCTTTCTTATTTCATTGCATTCTTGCTTCCTTAATTCATAGTTTCCTTTTTTCTTCGCTTTGCTCATTTTTTCTCATTTGGACAGTGACCCCTTGAGGGTCTGAGGAATAGGCAATTCCAAGTCTAAGCATGAAATCTTTTTACAATAAATTGACTGGGCAAGCATTCACAAAGTAAAAATGCAAATTTGAATTCGAGGTGGGCACCAACACAAGGCAATGAAAGTTATCACAAAATCAAATTTAACAACAATTACATAATTGCACCTTATCTTGGGCGAAAATGGTCATTCACATTTTTTATCATAGAATGGCTCTTTAAAAATGGGCATCCTTTCTTAGAGTAATAAACAGAATTTCCAGTAGCATAAAATTAACTCGCAAGAAGCATTGTTATAATAGAGACATAAGGTACAAAACAAAAATCCCGAATCTTGAAATCAATTATCTTGGTCATTGAATTAACCCACCAGAAATGTTTACATTGAATTACCATGTATGGGATTGGTATCTCGACTCTTCCCTTTCTTTTTCAGGAATCTTCTGCACAGCCGTACCTGAAAAATGCCTGTCTGCACCTTGTCAAAATGGAGCCACCTGTGTGGACACAACGGATGATTATGCTTGCATTTGTGTCAATGAAGGAGTGAGATACATGGGCAAAAATTGTGACCAACTCTATGATGCTTGTTCCTTTGCACCATGTGAAAACTGCATCAGCACTCTTGGTATGCCAGAATACCATTGCATCTGCCCAAGTGGCCTATCGGGTGATAACTGCGCGGAGGAGATGGACGAGTGCCTGAGTAGCCCCTGCTCTGAGCCACGTTATTTGTGTGTAGATCAACTCAATGGATACTTCTGCAGGTGTCCCGCTGGTTATGGAGGGCCAAGATGCCACCAACGTGTAACTGACTGCATTGACGAACCCTGCATGAACAATGGGACCTGCATTTTTCACCCACAAGGCTTTGAATGCCAATGTGCACCAGGATATGAAGGAAAAACGTGTGAGGAGGATATAAATGATTGCTTGTCGGAGCCTTGTCAAAACGGTGCTCTCTGTATTGATGGAGTGGCAGAGTTCCATTGCTTCTGTGTGCCAGGTTTTCAGGGCCACACCTGTGAAATTGACATCAATGAGTGTGCATCAAGACCATGTGATAACAATGGTACTTGCATCAATGAAAAGGACCACTATACGTGTGAGTGCCTCATGGGCTTTGCAGGTAAATCAAAATTTAGACACAAACATTCACAGGATACTCACACTTAAAGTAACTGTAATACAAAATGTGTAATATGCAGGCACAATCTAATATTCATGCATCCATCCATCCATCCATTTGTTTAACGGGGTCAGGTTGCCCTGACATCCTTCTCCACAGCCACTCTGTCTAGCTCTTCTGGATGCGTGCTGAGGAGCCGGGAGACATAGTGTCTGCAACTTGACCTGAGTCGTCCCTGGAGCCTCCTACCTGTGGAACATGCCTGACAAGGAAGGAATCCACGGGGCATCCTAACCGGATGCCTAAGCAACCTCATATCGCTCCTCTTGATTCAGGGGAGCAATGGCTCTACTCTGATCCACTCCCAGATGACCGAGCTTCTCACCCTATCTCAAAACGAAAGTGTGGACACTCTCGGACGAAACTCATTTTGGCTGCTTTTGGAATCCTGTACTTTTGGTCATCATGGCCTACAGTCCACAAAACACATGTATACAGATTGAGCGAACACTCATTCACCCTCGTGGGATCTGCCGAGGGTGTAGATTGTAGAGCTTGTCCACAAACAAGACAAAAACTACACTGCTCCTCCTAAATCTGAGACTCAACTTCCCAACAGGCCCTCCCTCCAGAACTCCTGAACAGATCTGATCAGGGAGGCCTGATCAGTGTGACCCACCTGTATTTGAAACACACATTACGGTCCACCTTTTTAAAAAGGGAGACCACCACCCTGGTCTGCCAATCTGATGTTCTGTCCCATAGCTTCATTTTATCCACACATAGCGCTCCGCCACCGAGGAGCTTTTTAACCACCTCGGTGACTTCAACCCCAGAGATAGGATAGCCAGCCTCAGACACATCAGACGTGGGAAACTGTGTTGGCGGGACTGAAGAGTTCTCCAAAGTTCACCACACCCCAGTCGAAATCAAGAGTGGCACATCCCTACCATATGAAGTTTTAAGTTTATCGACTGTTTTGTGCATCGGCCTCACAGTGCAGAGGTGCAGGGTTCAATTCCAGCTCCAGCCTTCCTGTGTGGTGTTTGCATGTTCTCCCCATGCCTGCGTGGGTTTTCTCCGGGTACTCTGGTTTCCTCCAACATTCCAAAAACATGCATGGCAGTTAATGGAACACTCTAAATTGCCCCCAGGTGTGAGTGTGAGTGTGGATAGGTCGTCTATGTGTGCCCTGTGATTGGCTGGCAACCAGTTCGGGGTGTACCCCGCCTCATGCCCGATGATGGCTGAGATAAGCTCCAGCATGCCTGTGACCCCCATGAGGATAAGCAGATTGGAAAATGGATGGATGGATGCTTCCCCAGGATGGTGGACCAGAATTTCAATGAAACCTCTGGAAGTTGTTTTCAAAAGCAAAACTCGTCCCATGACCCAGTTTTTACCTTAGTGACTGGCAAAGCTACATTCCGCTTGGCCAACCAGTACCCCTCAGCAAGCATCATTAGGACTCCTTCAGCTTAATGGCATCCCTCATTGTGGACGTGTTGATTGCCACCACAACAAGCACAGACTTGTATGGCTGAATGAGTTCAAGAAAAGACCATTTTTAAATAAATGTGTTTCTTTTTTTCCCCAAATCAAGCTTTGAGGTAACATACATATGTACATTAACATTACCAATAAAAGCTGCGAGCAGCTGTAAAGGGCCCTCACAGGCTTTGCAAAGCTTGGGTACTGGCACGTGGGACAATTTGTAATTCTTAGAAAATGAAGTACAGTACATTAGATTAAAAGCTACATTGGTAAAATGTCAATCACCTCTATTAAAGGCCAAAAATGAGGCAAAATGTCTTCCTTTTTAATTTGCTTTGAAATTTTGACTCACTTTTGACATTTTATAAATTTCATATTCCATCAAAGTCGGTTTTAATCTAATGTATTTTTTTTTTTCTTTCAAAAAATAAAAATTCCAATGTGCCAGTATCCCAATGTGCCAGTGCCTCAATCTTGCTCGGGCTGCGAGGGCCCTTTATAGCTGCTCGCAGATTTTTAGTTATTTTTCTTACATAAAAGAGGGTGACCACCAATTCTGTCCATGCATATAGGTTTTGTAGGCCTCCCTGAGTTGCCTGTGTGCCAAGGTGTCCTGATATCTCCGGGCAGAATTTGGCTCTACAAACGTAGACTTTGATGAGAATTTAACAAAGATTTATTTACACAAAAATGCACAGGACCTACAAAGGACAACAAATGACACTGGTTACACAATAAACCAGGATAAAATGAGGAAAACAATGCTTGCAAAAGGCAAGGACGATTATAAGCAGAAATAACTTATAATCTCAAATCTAGAACACACTTAGACTAACACCAAGACAAAATGTGACGAGAATGTCACAGAGCATAAACATGGAGCGTTCAGAAAATTGCATTTGGAAGGAAGCCATGAGCAAGGAGAATAATTCAACACTGGCTTATCAGCTTGGAAGTCCTTAAATAGTCAGATGATTATGATGCGTGACAGGCGCCCTGCTGGAGGGAACGCCCTCCATTCCAGCTGGAACTTAGAACAAAACAAAACAGAAACATTACACTATAAATTTTCTCTTTGGCTGGTGGGCTGGTTGGAACATTATCCACTCTATGTTGTGGGGTTGTGACAACACACAGTTTGTGTTCCAGTGAGTGATATTAGTCCAAAACTCAAGTATTGGTGTTTGTGTGACACACTCAAAAGACCGGACACCCCATATGGAGAAATGCAATCTGGTTTACTGGATGTGGTCAAGTCCAGTGAGGAAAATCCAGATTCATATATTGTGAAAAACAAATCAATTCTGAGCAGACACGTGACAAAATATTGTTGGGCCAACTCCTCAGGTCACAACTCAGCTGTTTAACTGCACCTTAAAGATAAACAACACTTTTTTGAGGACTAAAGTGTGCATGTTCTGTACGATGAAGACAGATGCTTTTGAAAAGAGGAGTAAGAGAGGTCATCTAGCTGAATGTGGAAGCTATCCCTCAAGAAAGGAAATGGCTTACAACACGACCTTCCTCCTATATACAATTCCATTGTCATTTTGCATGCCATAAGAATCATACCATTTGTGGTTTGCAGCATGTGCCAACCTGGAGCATAAATGTTTGAGTCAAACTCATGATCGTCCTGTCATAACTAGCCTTGTTGCATGAATGGCCTGCTTGGATCAAGATGCGAAAACAGAGTCCAGTCAAGTTGCGATTGATTCAGTGCCCGGAGAACCAATACTAAGGATATTTCTCAAACACTGCCATCTAAAACAGTATCTTGTGTTTCCTTTTCTTAACTAGGAATCAACTGCGAAACTGAAATTGATGAGTGTGAAGTGGATCCCTGCCACAATGGAGGCACCTGCCACGACGGTATTGGCATTTACTCATGTGAATGTCTTCCTGGGTTTGAAGGCATCAGTTGTGAAGCTAACATTGATGAGTGTGCAAGTAAGCCATGTAACAATGGAGGTGGCTGTCGTGACATGGTCAACAGGTGAGGGAATCCTTTGAAAAAGACTTGGTTTTGTTTGTCGTTGTTTATTGTTTGTTTGTTTATTGAACATATATAAAACATACAATAACAGATGACAAAATGCAAACAAAAATTATGAAAGGAAAAATACACTTGGTTTTCTTCGTTTCTATTTACTCTTGAATGTTTTTGGTTCATTGTAAATTATGTAAGTGTATTTTTTGAAAATTAAAGCGGTACAGCGTATGAACAGTGCATCTATAATGCCAATCAGTCAGTCTATCCATCCATCAATTTTGAACACCGCTTATCCTGAACAGGGCCGCGGGGTGTGCTGGAGCCAATCCCAACTGACTTGAGGCGGAAAACAGACAACACCCTGAACTAGTTGCCAGTCAGTTGCAGGGCACCTATAGAGACAACCATTCAAACCCACATCCACATCGTCACTGAGTGGGAACCGATTTCACACTGCCCGCTCGAACAACCATTCACACCCACATCCACATCGTCACTGATTGGGAACCGATTTCACACTGCCCGCTCACAAGTCAGACAAGTGTATCACGACACCATCAGCGACTCAACCAGTACAAAAACCTATCATGAAGCTCTTTAAACTTGGAGCTTTTAGTACGTTACATGTCCCACCTTAATATGAAATTCCCTGTTTATTTAGGCACCCAGTGTTGTGCCAGACAGAGGGGATCGAGCCTTTTTCATTGCCAGTCCATTTTCTATTGGAATGACCTCCCACGAAATGCTCGCCAAGACCCCTCGCTGCCCATCTTTAAAATAAAATCATCTTCACATTCATTTTTGTTCTTTAACTTTTGACTCAGCATGAGACTTGAGTTTATTCTTACTGTTTTTGTGCTTTTTATAAGATATCCTTTATTTGTCCCACACTGGGGAACTTTACAGTTCATCCATCCATCTATCCATTTTCCGATCGGCTTTATCCTCACGAGGGTCGCAGTGGGTGCTGGAGCCTATCCCAGCTGTCTTCGGGCAGTTGGCGGGGGACACCCTGCATCTGCACATACAGATGAACAACCATCCACGCTCACGAACATGCAAACTCCACACAGGAAGGCCGGAGCCGGGATCAAACCCACGACCTCTGCACTGTGAGGTCGAGCGCTAACCACTGAACCACCAGGCTGCCCTTGTGCTTTTTACCGTCTTCGATATTCTATTGTATGACTTATTTCACTCCATGTACTTTACTTTTTATACAGTGGTGGTTATTCCAAAGTACTCTATAAATACCGTTGTGTTGAGTCGAGTTGTATTTTTCTGGGATCGCTCTGTAATTTGACCCTACTTGCCCAGACTCTTCAGAAAATATTTTCTGTACACTAACCACAGTTTCACTTATCTTCCTTTATCTTCAACAACAACCATTTTAAAAATTATTTAAATTTGTTGCAGCTATGAATGTGACTGCGGTGATACCGGATTTGAGGGCGTCCATTGTGAAGTGGACATCGCTGAATGTGCGTCTCATCCCTGCCAACATGGTGCTACGTGCCTGGAGGGAGTGAAAGATTATACTTGCGACTGTTGGCCAGGTACCTGAACTATATGTCAAACACCAAACATTTGCGCAATCACCTTCTACTTAGGTTAGCACGTCAGCTTCACAGTGCAGAGGTACCGGGTTCGATTCCAGCTCCGGCCTCCCTGTGTGGAGTTTGCATGTTCTCCCCGGGCCTGCGTGGGTTTTCTCCGGGTGCTCCGGTTTCCTCCCACATTCCGAATCATGGCAGGCTGATTGAACACTCTAAATTGTCCCCAAGTGTGAGTGTGGGCGTGGATGGTTGTTCGTCTCTGTGTGCCCTGCGATTGGCTGGCAACTGATTCGGGGTGTCCCCCGCCTACTGCCCGAAGACAGCTGGGATAGGCTCCAGCACACCCCCGCGACCCTAGTGAGGATCAAGCGGTTCGGAAAATGGATGGATGGACCTTCTACTTAGATGGACATGTACAGCAGGGCTACGGTGCATGCACATCGGAGTTGTTCTTTTTCAAGTGTTCCTCTGTGGTCTAAAAATGCAGTTTGAAGGGCTCCAAAGTGAAGAAAATCATCCATCCAACCATCCATTCATTTTCCGATCCGCTTATTCTCACAAGGCTCGCGGAGGGTGCTCGAGCCTACCCCAGCCGTCTTCGGGCCATAGGCGGAGCACACCCTGAATCGGTTGCCAGTCAATCACAGAGCACACACAGACGAACAACCACCCACGCTTACACTCACACCTCGGGACAATTTATAGCAGGGGTCTCCAACTCCGGGCTGCTGTCCTGCCTGTTTTCCGGCTCTCCCTGCTGCAACACACCTGATTTAGACAATCAGCTCATCAGCCAGCTCTGAAGCAGCATTAGAACGATCCTGATTATTTGTGATCCATTGATTTTTCTGTGATTACGGCTATATAAATAAATTTTACTTGACTATTATATGGACTCTCGTGATGTTGAAGTTAACATTGTATAGCACCACATCATATGTAAAATTCATCTTGCTAAATAGACTCTTACATTTTTCTAACTAACATTGTGCAGCACCATTTTGGATTACATGTTGCCTACTCAGCATCGATTGCAACCTGGTCATCTCTGGGCCCTTCTCAAGGGTTCTCCCTTTTTCCCCATATGAGGTTTTTGAGTTTTTCCTTGCCCTCTTGGGGTGGCGGGGGTGGAGTGGGTGGAGGTAGATCAGGGAATGTCATAAATATGTGTTTACTGTGGGCTTGTGAAGCCCTTTGAGACTCTTTTCTTGTTAAGGGTTATTATATGAATACCGTATTTTCTGCACTGTAAGGCACTTCAGATTATAAAGCACAGCTTCAATAAATGGCCTATTTTAAAACTGTTTTTATGTGTAGGGTACACTGCATTATGAGGTGCATAGAATAGAAGCTAAAATAGTGGCTGTGGGTGCGCTATGCATCCATTATATGGTACTACTGTACGCTCAAGTGAATACAATACAATGCAGCTGAGAGCCTACAAACCACTGCAGCGGTAACAAAGCTTTGAGAACTGGTCACAAACATGGACATGAAACATATAAATACAAATGGCATTACAAAACAATAAATGAAAGACAAAAGTTATGAAGAGAATTGATTCAACAAAAAGGCACACAGACTTTGTGGGCTCACATTCAGAAGGATCTAAATATCCTTATATATGTCTTGCTTGTCTCCTTCTTCCTTCGTTTAGTCCAGGGGTCGGCAACCCAAAATGTTGAAAGAGCCATATAGGAAAAAAACAAAGACAAAAAACAAATATGTCTGGAGCCGCAAAAAAATAAAAGCCTTCTTTAAAACTTACAATGAAGGAAACACATGCTGTATGTATGTAGGAGACTGGACTGTCTCAGAATTGTTTATGTTATTCATTCCTTTGTTGTGTGTTCACAAATGGCCCCATAGAATTTATTTTGTGATTTCCTCGCTTTATTTTTTGTTTTGGTGCATTATTTTCGCTTTTCTTAGTGTCAGCGAAGTGATCATTAATTTCCGTTTTTCAGAGGCTGTCTTTGAACGCCTCTCAAGTCGAACGAGAAGAGATAAGGCAAGGAGTCGGACGCAGACGTGTCTGTGTTTGTCGAGACTGTTAAAAGCATAAATAAAGTGTATGTTTTAAAAAAACCAATACCACAGCTTTTTTTATAAAGCTCCAGGGAGCCACTAGATGTTGCTAAAGAGCCGCATGCGGCTCTGGAGCATCGTGTTGCTGATCCCCGGTTTAGTCAGTAGTTAACTCTGCTTTTGGTATGATCTTCGTTTTATAATGGCTGCGCAGAGCTCACAAAGTTATTTGTTAGGTGCATTCACCAAGACACATTCAGTCGGGCAGAAAACCCTTTCAGGTTACAATTGGTTCCTGCTAGTAATCACCACTATATGGCCTAGGAACAGTAACAGAGAAACAATTTGTCAATCTCACGTGCTAAGGGCTCGTAGAGGAAGATAATCATCGTAATTTTGATTCACGACAACCACAGTATTGACATTTGATTTTTGTTTTGCTCCATCCAGGTTATGAAGGCACAAACTGTGAGATTGACACCGACGAGTGTGCTGAACATCCTTGTGACAATGATGGGGAATGTTTTGAACGTTCAAATCTGAGTCACTGGGAGCTTGATTGGGAACGAAGCTATGCAAATGCAGCTGGATATATTTGCCAGTGTCAGTCAGGGTTTGCAGGTAAGTGACACAATGAAAAATGATCACCAAAAATACATAACTCTCCTCTCTATGTAAACTTGTAAAAACCTGTACTGTATTGATTACAGGACAGAACTGTACCATTAACATTGATGAGTGTGACTCTGAACCCTGCCATAATGGAGGCACTTGTGCAGATCAAAACAATGGTTATGTTTGTACCTGCCCTGCCGGGTTTTCAGGTAAGAGTTCGAACTGATTTGTACTATTCGTAACTTAAAATGATCCAACAAACACAATAAAAGTTTATTCTTACAGATATGAACGAATTCCCTAAACAACAGAAAATGAGTGCAGTGTATTTTGCTGCCTCGGCTACTCGTGTATTTCTTATTCAAATACAGTACATCTATTTGGTATTATGGATTCCTTTAATAGAGTACATCACGGCATTAAGAGTTTACCAAAAGGAACTTTAGTTTCAGCAGCGCTGCAGAAAAAAGCAACTATAGTCAGGCTAGGGTCTGAGGCATGCTGCAATTTTAGCAAAAAATAAAAATAAAAATAATTGACACCCTTAAAATATTTACGATTTTCCTGTATTAAGACTTCAATGTACTTCAATTTTCAACAAGATGGAGCACTGCCCCATTGGCAT